CTCTTCGACGACTTTTATAGACATTTCGATGGTTTCTTTGTCACGTCGGGGTCACCAAATATTACATTCTACTCAATCTCGCACAGGAACTACTACAAAACTACAATGACAACACGTTTTCTCATCGATCCTCGTTTCGTTTTCATTCTCTCCAACGCGTGGGATTTTCGATCCCATAATAATAAGTAACCTGGGGCTGGGCCCAGTCCCTCACGTTCTACTTGTAACATTATGAGTGATGTCTCAATTATTTCTTCCCGCTTTTAATATGTCGCGCGCGATTTATCCCTCTGTAGAAGCGAAATGCAGTCTGGGAGTTGGTAAATGATACTACGCCATCTTTGTTCCTTTTCAGTTTGTAGGATCTGCGGAGTGCCTTTTATTTCATATTTTAAACCAAGATTTTGATTGGGAATTGTGCTTTATCCAGTATCGGATAAATTTGCGCTCACGGGCAAACTCATACCAAGAACATTTCTTCCATACATACAAATTTAGATTTACAAGCAAGTCGCACACACGCGATAGGTCAAGGGTCCATATAAGATTTACGTATTGGTGAGCCTGTTTAGGCTGGACCTTTGCCTGTCTTGATGTGAATTGAATTAGTACTGTCAGAGCACTGTATGAGCATTGTATAAGCACTGAAATATCTGAAGTAAACTTATTTGTGAACCGAAATATTAGTGAAGTTTAACGGTGAACGGTGTGGTGTAAAGGTAAGCTACCTGAAGTTTTTGTCTTGATGAGAGTTGGTTAATGTAGCTTATATGATGGTCTCTTTAATGCAATACAGAGCTGCGGTAGGGTTACACAACATTCATTGTAAAGCAAAAGAATACTCAAGTGGTGTGAAAGGGAATTTCTGGTCTATGCTATTGTTTATGTTTTATCCGGAGGGAATGTATTTTGCAACCTTAAAAACAGTAATGCGGTCGTGGCAAATGAGTTATTATGCAAAGTTCATTCAAATGTGCATGTATCATTTCTATATTTCTTTGTTGATTCGACTAGCTAATGACGTGGAAATGAATCCTGGACCTTGTTACCTTGTGGATTCATGTAAAACTGCCACAGCTGACTATCATCAAGGTGATGTTTCACTGTTTGGAATGAGTGCTGGTGAACAATGTGTAGCGATGTGTTCAACTGCGGTTGTTTCCAATAATGATTGTAATGCATCTTGGTGTAGAGAAAAGCTATATGAAATATTGATGCAAGGCAATGTGTTGTATTCTCAGATTAGTAATTTAACAGGAGAGGACTCTCTGTTATTAACTGAGATTCCTTCTTCATTTTCAATTACGGGTGAAAATTTTTTCCGATAAATGTTAGTGGCAGTCTTACTGGCAACCTTCACATGTCTGATATTAGGGACCGTTTTGTACCATTGCAACATGCCCTTGATATGTTAATAAAAGATTATAATGCCTT